AATTTGGGACTGATTTTTGGAGACATGAATAGACAGTCTTGAACAACAAAACAAACTCAAGACCAAGTATTGGAGCAAGATTATTGGTCACAGACGCTAATTCAACACTCTTTAGAGGATTTCTGCTTGGCCATTCTTCCATTCTCTTCTTCCTCCATCTCTTCCCATGAATTAAGCAATCTGTCAACTCTTGTATCTCCGCATATGATTTTTTTCAGAGATCCAATATCTTCCTTTTTTTTGTGCATAGCCAAAATCCCATGAATGCAATCGATGAGATCCAATATCCTACGACTCAATCGACAAAACCGGTGTGGCGGCGATTTCTGATAACCCTCCATAGAAATGGTTGCCTACCCAACAACAAGATAACAACTTGGCTGCAATAGCTGAGTCCCGTTGCTGCAGTAGTTGAGTCTCATTGCTTGATTACTCCAGTCCATTGTAGTGACATCAAATCCTTAGATCTGCTCTTCCTTTCTCCAGAAATAGAATGCGCATAGTAGATTTTAGAACCGACTTAAGCTCTCTAACCTACATTGGTTAGAGAAATTTGTTCAATTGTTTTGATGGAAAACTACTTCTAGCTAATTTGCCACCATGACAGTTATTTCAATTACCACAGCAAGTAACACTTTTTTTGTCTCGTTGGAGAGTGTTGCAACTCTCCTTGAGAGTCTCGTAATTGGATTTCATTAATGGTAATGGGAAGTTGATGCACCAACATCTGAGATCAGTCCCATTAAAGAAGTATCACGTTGAAGAACTCAGAGTGGATGGTTCTTCAAAATTTTCATCAATTGGGTTTTATTTTAAAAATTTGAGGATTAGTGGAGGGCAAATTTGACAGTTTATTTTTTTTGTTACCAATTTACCGGCTATGTCAATTGTCAAAAACAGTAGTGGCACTTTAAGACAATATGTAAACATTAAAAGTAGAGTTAGTCAATTAGCTAAACCATGAGGATAGTTTAAGAAATTAAATTGCCCTTATAATTATTATGTAATGTAAACATAAATTTTAAACATATATATATATATATGTCATAAAATATAAAATATTTTATATTTAAAGTCATAGGCCCAAAATCTATCTTAGCCCAGCCAACCCACTCCATGGTAACCCCTAATTGGCATACGCTACTCCCAAAAAGAATTATGGTCAAGCTTGATATTCTAGAACGACATTGAGGGAAAGTAGATAATTTTAGGCTCACTTGGAAATAGTGTAAATACAAACATGTTCAACTTTGCATTTGGAAATAGTGTAAATATATGTTAGTTCTAAATTTTGTATTTGTACTATACATATTTGTATTTCAACTTTGATTGTTCAGGTTGGTTTAAAACTATAGGCTCAGTTTGGAAGCAGTACAAATGCAAATACGTATAGCATAAATACATACAAAATATAAGGTTTTGCACTCTACATATTTGCATTTGTACTCCTTCCAAACTCAGCTATAATAAACTATTGCACATTATGTATTGGAGAGCACATCTACTACAGGTAAAGATAGTTGGGATAAGACTTGATAATAATGATTATGACATTTGCTATAGCTATGGTGGTAAACAATTGCATATAATGTTTTGAATTTGTTGCAAAGGATGACATGTTTGCATTTTATTAAGACATTACAAGGGAGTGTTATGGTGGTAGCAGATGTAAAATCCATAATATGTGTGATTCTAAATAGGAATGTTGTAACTTAAAACACCATGATACCAAACACCATATAAATTTTTACAAGTCGATGTAACTCAAAAAAACTGATCTTAAACAAATTTTTATTTTTTTCAAGGGCCATTTATTAGAAAACCCCCTATGGTTTTATGGATTTATCTAAGTGTACCTTATAGTTTTCATTTTACTAAAATACCTCTATATCTTATAACTTATTTATTTAATTGACCATTCACCGAGAAGTGTTTGTTTTGCCATATGAAAACAATAACATGATCATCTCAACTGAGTGGAAAATATTCAAGGGCATGGGCCCATGATTGTTTATTCCAAAAATACGTGTGGATATTGAATTTCAGAGACACTCATCGGCCATCGCCTTACCGTCAACCTTAACAAGTTACATTTGATCTCTCATTATGTTGGCATTGGTGAAATCAAAAGTGCATATGGCAAAGGTCCACAAATTTCTCACTATGGTTCCTCTTCTATTTACTTTAAATCCCACCATTTGATTCTTAAGGATATTGATGTTGTCCGATTCGAGGTGTCCCAAACCAAGATCGCAGTCAGATGTTCCTGTCTACTAGCGAAGATGAGGAGGAAGCATGAAGTTGCACACCAAGAACTGAAACAAGAAAGCGACCAGAGGCCCGAGGAGTTGTTCCCCGGGTAGGTACTCCGAGCAGTTGAGAGAAGTGCTGGTTCGAGTAGAGGCAGAATAACAGTATGGGTGTTGAAGAGTCAAAAGTCCTTTACCTTGAGTAGGAGTTACCTTTTTATAGCCAAAGATTTGTGTCCTATTCGGATGAGGTTTCCGGGGTTGTCGGGATGAGGTTGTCCGTCGAGGTCTTCGGGATAAGACCTAATCCCCAATAGAGCTGTCCTCCTTAATTGCATGGGGTTCTCCTTTCTTGGTCACGCTTATCCACCTTGCGTGTCTCCGATGTGGCCGAAGAGATAAGACGACCCATAGAGGTGACACGTGTCACCCGAGGCCAGCTCAACCATAACCCAAACACCACTCCCCAAGTTCCAAAGTCAATGAGTGTAGTGATCGGTGGTAGCATGGCATGAAAGAGCTTCTTCAGTTCTTGGCTAAGGAACTTGAACTTGAAGTTTGGTTGAGCACGCTATCTGGGCTTAACGGTTTGGGGTTGGGCTGGTTTTTTGGGCGAACCGGCCAACTCGATGCCCATACCATTTATGAGGTGGGTTGGCTCGAGTTGTCAGAGGGAAGAATTTGACCTACGCCATTGATTTGCCTCGATCTGGGTTGTTGGGAGCCCTATAAAAGGGAGTGAAGGGCATTTCCACTTTGTCATTTGCGAGGGAGTCCTTGTAGAGCTCGGTGAGAAGTAGTCTTCGGCTTGGTGTTGCTTTAGTTCCGTAGTCTAAGCTTTCGTAAATTTGGTAAGATGTCTTCTTCTTCGTCCATTGATTCCTCCCACACATCTTCCTTCTCTTCTTCCTCTTCTTCCTCTAGTAGTGGGTCTGAGTCAGGGTCTCTCATCGAGGCTGCCTCGTTCGTTATCTATGAGGCCGATGGCCAGGGGGCCGAGGCCGAAGAGTTTGAGGCCTTTGATCTTGAGGGGGCCCTGGATTAGGAGGTTGAGGCCGAGGAGGCTGAGGTTGAGGTAGTGTCTGAGGAGGGGGCTGAATCCCACCACAGTATGGCAACCAGTTTTCAACCACTCCATGCAGCCTAAATCCTAGGGACATGGCCCGAATTAGGGCCTTGTACTGAATACCCGAAGAGTTTGAACTTAGGTGTCTGGGTGTTGGTGAGAGAGACACCTCGGCTCAGCCAGGCGAGCTTTGTGTATACAAGCATAGCCTAATAGTCGAGCTAAGGTTTCCTTTGTGTGAGGGGATCATTGAGGTGTTCAAGTGGTACTAGGTCATGCCTGTTCAATTGATGTCAAACTCCTTTAGGTTTGTGGTCAGTCTCCTTTGTTATTGTTTGGTCCACGACATTGAGATTTCCCTGCCGATGTTTGCCTATTTTTTGAAAGTGAAGCATCACCAGCAGCGGTATTATTACTTCTCAGCTCGACAACGTAACAAGGTACTGGTCGGGGGGCCCATCTTCGGTAAAGCACTGGAAAGAGAAGTTCTTCTTTGTGCGCTACCCTGGGGGCTGGTCGCTCCCTATTGAGCTCCAAAAACCGAGGACCAAAGTGAAGAGCCGAGCGTGACTATGCTCACTAGGTTAATTGAGAGGATCGACGTGATGGAATGCACGCCCTTCTCGATGTTGATATGTGCTAGGATGGCGCTTTATTTGATTTCATTAATGAGTTATTCTTAAGATGGAAAATTAAATTACATCTTGGTTCAGTTGATAATATTACAAATTATCGTCTGGTCCAAATCAGATGGTGGTGTGTAACATTCAAGTTGGTCTCCACCATCTCCACTCAACGCTCAATGACAAGGGAGACTTTCCTACACCAGGAAATTGGTCTGTTGGAGAGACAAATGAGCAATAATAATATATCTTATTTAGCAAATGAAAGATCAAGGTAGCTGAAGTGGCATTTACAAACACTGAATTCATATTTGAATTTCGATTTTTTTTTTTTTTTTGCTTTTACTTTTGAATGGTTAGGTGATCATTCTTTGTAGCATTCAAATACACCATTGGATTTTGACGATTCATATTAAATTCCCAAAGTTTGACACCCTTCTAAACAAAAATTTAGTAGGTGTTAACATATTTAAGTAGTGTATAAACTATAAAAAGATTTAGTGCCCACCATGAATCATGAATGGCCCCAATTAAAACCCAAAACAACAACTCCAAAAACCAGCCAAAATTAGATGAGCTTTAACTATCTAATCGACCATCATTTTTCAAAATTGCAGTATACGTTCACGAGAGTAAGCTTTCCTATGCCGTCCGATTAAATTAATAAAGTCAGAAGATTTTAATCTACAATGTTCGTGATGATTTTTGATTGAAATGGTGGGTCCGAATAACCGAATGTCCTAAACATGTTATAATGCTCAAAAAAACAAACCAGAAATGAGAAGATAGATGACCTTCAAAGTTTTCAACTTTCGAGGCTTTCAAGCAAGCTATTGGTTTGACTTCTCATCGAGCACGAGGTGAGTGACTCGATCTGTCATCTGTGTGACTCGAGCCATGAAAAAGTGGAGCCGAGCCGAGCCGACTGTAATATTGTCTGTCGTGTTAAAGGCATACGCTGACGGCTCGATCATCTGGAACGTCCAAATAAACTGTTGCTATAACGCAAAGCCTTCGATCTATGGCCAGCGCGTGTCTATTTCTTATTGGTTTCCGAACTTCGACAGACACCACTCTTTTTCACTGCCATGAACCCTGACCGGAACAGATACTCTCGGAATATCTTCACCCAAACGCCTCTGATCAGAGAGAGAAACGTAGAGGGAGATGCTTAGGGTTAGGGTTTCAAACAAATATCTGGTTACGGAGAAACTACGAGGTTCTCACTCTTTTGTGGATTTCTGTATTACTTCTGCTCTGTAAATGATGATTCTGTAAAGACACGAGAAGAGTTTGATTAGAGGCAAGTTGAATTCGGTAGAAAAGGCAGTAATTTGGCGTGGAGGAGATTCTAATCCCCCTTTCCCCACTTCTTTCCCCTTCTAAGCTCCATTTTCCTTTTTTTTTTCTTGAACTGCTATCGTTGACTAATTTGAGTACAAGACCACAAGTTTCAGACCATAGGTCTCGATTTGATGCTTGGAGGACACAAAATTGATTCCAAGAAATGTTTACTAAGAGTTACTGTATTTGATTCATAGCGAAGTTTGCTTCAGGCCCCCTTCCAGACGCTGTAACCAAGCGGAGAAGTGTATTTTCATGTGCTGATTACTCTCTCTTTTAACGCAAGAAGTATAGTTTGGATGAGGCGCCCGCCTGTGGCTTAAGGCTGCAGCATGAGTTGCGGCGAGGAGAACAGAGATGGTGTGGATGAAGGCCTTATGCAGAACGGGTTGGTTCCCGGTCCGGATTTCAAGATTGATGAGAAACTTCTTATCGACCCGAAGCTGCTCTACATAGGGTCCAAAATTGGAGAAGGAGCACATGGGAAAGTCTACGAAGGAAGGTAATTGCAGGCTGTGTTTCTCCGTAATTGGCCGTAAAAAGGGTGAAACTAGCAGCAGAAATATTTCAAATTGAAAAAAGTTCTCTCCTTTTAACCATTATATTTCCTGAACTAATAAAATCATGCGTAATGAATCTAATGCTGTATAAGGCGCAAAAAACAATCACAATACTGCTCAGCATTTATTTACCAAGTTTTCCAACCTTTTCTCCTCAAAATTTAAATATCCATGATCGTCTATTTGCGCCTTAAGTTGATTCTATTTACAATATTAAACTGCATAGAGCTCATACATTCAAAATGCGGTTTCATTTTTGGTTCTCTAATTATGATACATAATTTTTTTTTATTGCGTAATCTCAGATTGCCTCTTCTCTTCATTTTCCCATCAGTACATCTCGGCATCCACTCCATTGGTTTTAGAGAATTTACTAATTAATCTTCCATTATCTCTTACTAAATGGTGGAATTCTGTTGATCCAAAGTGAAAGATACTTGATTAGTTCTTAATCATCCTGTTTGTTGTTTGCCTATACATTTCGTCAAATGAATTTAGTTTCATGCCATCAAGATTTCTGAAGGTCTGATATGTCTTTCTCCTGCTCGCAACCTAGTTGCCTTAGCTTTATCAGGATAAATCTTGTTTTTCCAGGACAACCTGATCAGTTCTCTATGCCACGTGGACATAATAAATTTTTATTTTCTTTTTTATGAATGTTCTGGTTGCCTTTTGTTTTGAAAGTATTCATTGATTACTTGTGCAGGTATGGTGATCAAATAGTTGCAATCAAAGTTCTACATTCTGGAAATACCCCAGAAGAAAGAGCGGCACTTGAAGGTCGTTTTGCCCGGGAAGTTAATATGATGGCTAGAGTAAAACATGAGAACCTTGTCAAGGTGATATTTTATATAGTTTAGATCTTTTCTTTTGATTAAACTACGGGTATTATACTTATGTCTGAAGTTGGAATTGATTAAATATTTTGACACTTTACATCTTCATGTTTTATCCTAATAATACTGTAGTGTGTTCAACTTTTACTGCTTCTAATTTGTTTTTCCCCATTGCAGTTCGTTGGTGCTTGTAAGGATCCTTTGATGGTAATAGCTACAGAACTATTACCAGGGATGTCACTTCGAAAGTATCTGACTAGCATTCGTCCAAATCAGTTAGATCTCTGCGTTGCAATAGGTTATGCTCTTGATATTGCTCGGGCCATGGATTGTCTACATGCCAATGGGATTATACACAGAGATCTGAAACCTGGTATTCTGGCAATTTGTGCTGTATGGGAATTGCTTCATACCTGAAGTTGCTATTAGTTATCCATGCTATAATGGATTGATTTCTCTTTATTAATTATTTTCTTCCATAACTGCTAAATTTTGTTATTCTCTCAGTGTACAATAATGATAATTTTACTGGAAAAAATCAGATAAGTGGTATATGATGCTGTATTGAGGTGAAAATTTGCATTTCAACATGAGACCCGATTAATGCTATAAACTGCTAAAAGAAGTTATACTTCTCTTTCCTCTTTCTCATTATTTCTTTTTTGATCAATCTAAATGGGCTCCATAATGAAAGTGCTTACGATCAGTGGAACAGTTTTTTTAATCTTTTCCAAACATGGCTACACTTTTTAATTAGTGCAAGTCACATTCTGCTACTAGCCATTGACTTCTAGTTCCTTGGGTCATGCTCAAACATTATTTGGATGTTTTCCTTTTTGACCAGTGACTATTGTTGGGATTTTCCCTGTATTATGATTGTGATTGCATGTTAAGTTCCATGAGAGAAAAAGGATCAAGAAATAAAATGCTAGTATATCGTTGTCCTTCAGTCTTGGCATTCTGGCCACCTAAATAATTTAAAATCAGTAGCATCTCTCTATATATCTGTGTGTCTGTCTGGTCTTCCGTCTCTCTGAAGACATGCTGATGCATTTTGGTAATTATACAAGTTTTTGAAAACTAATGACACAGACAATCTGTTACTCACGGCAAATCAGAAGTCTGTAAAGCTTGCTGATTTTGGTCTTGCAAGAGAAGAATCTGTGACTGAGATGATGACTGCAGAGACTGGAACCTACCGCTGGATGGCTCCTGAGGTTTGTCTTTGTTACTTAATATTTGATAACTATATTCTTGCCTGTATGCTGCTGTTATTTAGCTGGACACCAAGCAGCTTGAAAATTAGTCTTTGCTAATCAATTTTTGAGTATACTACAGAAAGGTAGTATTGAATTCAAGAACAGCCTTTGAGTATGTGAGTTTGTAAAATTTTGGAGAAAGATGAAAGGAACATTTTAAGGGCCATTGCTTGGTGCAATGGTAAAATCTTGGCTGAAAAGCATGAGAACCCAGGATTGACTTAAAGAACAGCCATTTGTGCCCAAAAAAAGTGCTAGAGGTTAGGTCCATATCCACTATATTCCAATGACCCTGGATAGTCAGGACCGATGGTGGTAATGGCCCTTATGGATGTAGTTATTTTGTTGCTTTGGAAAGGACTTCCAAGTACTTTGGTTGTTCTAGGTACACTTTTGCCCCAGTTTACCCGTCTTGCATTTGTTAACTCCAAGAAAAACTTTGGTTGTTATTTAGTTGAAATTTGAATTTGTGAAACTGGAATAAATAAGCTGCTATAAAACCCATACCATTTACTATGTTTTAATATTTAGTTATGTTTTTGATATCTTAATTTATTGCTTGGGACTTGATCCTGGGTCTATTCAGATTGAGTACATAATTTTCTTGTTGAAAAAGGAGGAACCCACCTTCCTATACATGCTTGCATTTTTCATTGCACATGGAATTCTCCATGTGTGTCTAAACTTATGTTACTAGACAGGTTTTACATGACCCAAGTGTTTCACAACCGAAAGGAATTTTAACATTCCCTTACAAAGCTCACATTTAATTCAGTAAAAATTCAAAAATATGAAAGTTTAAACTGTAGCAATTGAATTACTTATTAATTTATTTACAACTATTTTTATGTCCTGTTTTGCAATATGTTTTTGAGCATAGCATTTATGGAAGCTGATGTGCAAATGCTTGTTTGGGGGCTATTTTTCTGGGGAGATGGAAAGAAATAAATAGGAGGGTATTCAATGTAGTCCAGCATGTAATAGGGTTGATAAAGCCAAAGGTGTCAAAATAGGTAAAAGTTGGTAGCATTTTCAGAGAAGTCTCTATGGACTCAATTTATTCCCTGGTTTCTTCCTTTTTCTTTTAAGATTGAGACAATTTTACTAAAAGGGAGAAAATTGTGTATGGTGGGTATGACCCAAGGATGAAACTAAAAGGATAAACATGGGCTATGAAGGTCTAGGTAAGTGGTGATAACTTTAGAATTAAAGGTAGGATTTTGTTAGGGTTGGGAGGGTTCTAAGCCAAATTGCTGGTAATTTCAAGTTCTCCAAGGAATGGTGAAAATATAGAAAAATTAAGTGTAGAGATGGATTTTTTTTTTCTAAATAAAATTTGTAGACGTGTTTAAGATGAAAGGTTGTATGCAGTGATTTAATTGAAGGAATACTAATCCAGTTTTGTATGAAATGATGAAAATTTCCTTCACAAAAGAAACTACAAAAAAAATTCAGGAATTAGGGTTTAGATGGAATTTTGGGATGAAATTCAGCACGATAAAAGGTAATTGAAACTTATGGAGGGCAGCCTAATAAGAAGGATGAAAATGACTGAAACAGGAGAATTTTGGATTTTAACATAAACTGAAGAAAATGTGCTCGGTTCAATTTCAATTCTTTAGGCTCTGTTTGGTTTGTGGGATGGGGGTGAGAAAAAGGGAATATTCCAAAAATATTCCTTTTTCTCTTATTTGTTTTGAGGGAAATAGAGGGATGGGATGAGAAAAAGGTGATGAGAGATCCCAAAATCGTGGAATCGGGGTTGCACCAAAACAGTGTGACCCCGGTGGAAAAACTCGAGAAACCACTGTTCATTGCCTTCCAGCGACGACGACAAACAGCAATGACGAATAGTGCGACCCCGGTGGAAAAACTCGAGAAACCACTGTTCATTGCCTTCCAGCGATGACGAATAGTGTGACCTGATCTATTCTCCACCGTTTTCTTCACCAGATACTGGCAAGGAACCATTGCTCATTGCCTTCCCTGTTCGAACAGAGGAGGCGGTGGTGGCAAGAGAACCAGGCAGCAGTGATCTGCTACCTTCCCTGTTCTCTGTCTCTTCCTCCATCTTCCTCTTCTCTCTTCTCCCTTACCTTCTTCTTCTTCCTATTCTTCCCGTCTTCCTCCCTCACCTTCTTCTTCCGGCAAAGAACCAGGTTGTGACAGTGCTTTTCCTATTATTTTCCCATATACAAAACCAAACACTAGAAAGTTAATTTTTTACATTTTCTCATCCCATCCCATCCCATCTTTTCCCATCCCACCCAAATCTTCCCACAAACCAAACGGAGCCTTAGGAATGTTGAATGAACTATTTAAAGAATTTGTGAGTTGTTGATGGTTTTAATTTCTGCTAGTGGAATTTGGGAGAAAGAAGAGAGAGAAAAACTTAGAAACCTAAATCACTCTAAGGTTTATGGGATCACTAACTATAAAAGATCAAGCATAATGTATTAATTCACCAAAATTTTGCAATAAAATACACAGATTTCTAGGATCTACCACTCATACTACAAGTCTATAACTCAAAGAAAACTTAATTGGTTGGAGAAGCATTAGGGCTGCAGTGTGCTGGTCAATATGGGAAGAAAGAAATTCACAAATTTTTTCAGATAAGGAAAGAACCACAGAAAACCTAATAGA